AAAAAACGCGACCATAATCAGCTAAATCAAATTCAATCACTTTACCTCTTTGGTAGCGTTTCTGCGAGAGGGTTCCAAGAAAACTCTCATGATGTTTTCCGCATGTGTATACACTATCGCGAAACCAGTCGAGCTTAGCACTGTTAATGTAAACATGGCAGCGAACAGGAACTTACCTTTGAATGCCATTTCTATAATTTCTGGATAATAAGTAGAAAAAGAAAATTATGAAATAATCTAAGGAATTCAAGCCTGTTTAAGTCAAACTATGAAATAAAATAATACGTTGCCTATCTTAGAAGAGGGCGTTTTACAGGCCCACTCTTTAAATAGGAACCTTTTGAAGTAGAGACTACGGATAAAACCGCCGATTAAATCCTGAAAAGTTGTTATCCTCGAATTTGTTTATTTAAAGAATAATGTTTCCTCGCTGTTTGATTTAGAAGACATTTTACTCGCTCTCTTTTTTTTAAGAGCCCTTTTGAAACGTTTTTAACTCCTCAGCGAGATAGAGATTAAAGAAAAGGGTTCGTACAAACTTGCATACCGGTGATTTTGCGATTTTTCCCCAAAGATCAACCTGTGTTTTATTGCCCTCTTCCTTAAAATTCTTTTTAACGATCAATTATGTAAAACTTGACTGCAAATGATCCTGCAATGGATCCTCGGAAATTAGCCTATGTTTTATTGTCCTCTTCCTTTAAATTCTTCTTCAAGGTGAATTATGTAAAACTTGGCTTCAGGCTTCCTATGAGTTCTATCAGGAGCTTAAAAATGCATATTATATTTGTCTACACAAATGTAGAAGTCTCTCTTTACTCACCTTACACTTCTCTCTTCGTAGATGATTCAGACTGGCACGCTGAAACAAGTCACAAGCATATCCTTTATTTCTTGTGTTCTTGGCAGTTGCCTGCTATATCTTAATAGATTACTTGAATTTTTATTTTCAATCCGTTTGATTTGGTTAATCATTGATTGAGAGCATATTGGTTTTGGATTTAAATTACATAGATTCTTTTCCAAGGTGAATTATGTAAAACTCGGCTTAAGGCTTCTAATGATTTCCAGCTGAAGCTTAAACGTGCATGGTATATCTGTCTATAAAAAACGTCGAAGTCTCTCTTAACTCACCTTACAGTTCATTCTTTGTAAACGATTTAGACTGGCACACGCTGAAAGAAGTCATAGTACAGGCACATCCCTTATTTCTTGTGTTCTTGGCGGTCACCGGCTTTGTCTCAATAGATTACCTGAATTTTTCATTTTAATCCGTTTGATTTGGATAATCATTGATTGAGAGCAGATTGGTTTCTGGAGAAAAACTAAAAAACTTGAGATTAACAATGATGATAAAACCAATAACAGTTCTTAGGACGCCTCTCTCAAGTCTCAATGTGTTTACTTACTAACTTTGAGGAACATGGTGGCGAACAAGGACGTGCAGAATTCCATTTCTAGTGGGCAAAAACGTTTTTAGCAAATCAGCGTAGTGTCGTAGAGTGCACAATGATTAAATAAGAAGACACTTCTATTCTTTTACCCAAACTTTGAGGAATTGATTTAGCAACTAAAAGATCTACATCGTTAATATATTTTTAGTGGTTCTTGATGTAGTCTAGTTTAGATCTATTTGAAGGAGGCATGAGTAGACAATTAGGTAGCCAATAGAAACTAATGACTGTCTTTTAACAAACCAAAGAGGAAGCTGTTTTTTCGGATCACACGATCTCTCCGTTAAGATTTTGTTATCAGGTATATTCTGGATGACTCATTTCGTTCGTTTGCTTTGTAAATAAAATCAATTTGAATTCATAAACTTTTATCTTTTGCACTTTGTTACTGTGCCTTTCATAGCAGTCGAACGATTCATCCGTGTTGAATCAAACTGATCCTTTACATGAACGTTGTGTCTGGTATGCAGTAATTTCGAACCTTTCGAAACCAATGCAACTTCACATATTCGCAATAAAATAAAGGTGATTATTTCTCTCCAAAAATGAGAATGGGTTCAAATTCCATGAAGATTGTTAAAAACAATTATTTGCAGTGGATAAAATATGGGGTTATTATCAGTTTACAAGAATCAAGAAGACTGGATAGCCCCTTAAAACTTGTGGGTTTCCCAAAATCGTTTTATTTTAGTCGATGATCACACTCGTGTTTTTACGAGATAGATAAGTCGATCTCGTTTACTGCTTTCTGCTCTTTGACGGTTTTGCTTCCATCATCAAAGTTCACGGTTAAAGGGAAACAAATTTCCGTCCGTAACTGCGACCATACAAAAGATAGCGTGACAAAAAATATCTTACCTATGTTATATCATCATAGAGCTTAGAAGAGAAGAACAAAAAACGAAGCAATAATGTTCATTGCAATACATCCCTATTGATAGATGGATAACCACATCAAAATAAAAGCGCTTGCGGGGCCCTGACGGGTTGAATTATGATACGAAATAATTACCATGTGACTTCTGTGTTGACGTTATTTTATTTTCATGTCGTGTGAGGGACACAACCAGCCGTTATCGCCGGAAATGGGTCATTAGTTTGTGGATTTAGGCCTTTGATTACTCAACGGTGATCTCTGAGTACTTTGTCACTGATGTGGTTTAAATTAAAACATCCGTTATTTGGGGTAATAACAACGAGGGGGATAGGAGCGGTGATTTAAAGAAATGGACAAGGTCCTGTTTGATGACTTTTCGTTACAAGAACGATAAGTTTGTATTGTATACGAGAGTAGAATTCAGCGTATTTTTAATAAATCTAAAACCATCATTAATTAAGAATAGACTTCATATTTTGCGGATGACAAGTTCTTCCTCCTGCTTTTAGTTATATGTGACATTCCCCACTACACAGCCTTCTTTAAACTGTTTCAATTTCCGCAAGTGTATCCTAGCCTTTGCGTAAATAATATGGTGTTTCAATATATTAAACTGATAGCGATTAGAGGTCAAACCATGGCACAGAATGGCCGGACCTGTTAAATATTCACACTTCATTAGCAATGCATTAGCATAACAGCAACGCGATGGAACGCGAAATTTGAAAGCCGGCAATCAACATTTTAAAGGAAATGGCGCCAGAAAAGGGGGAACACCTAACTTTAATTTTCATTCTAAATGGGTCTCAGTTGGAAAAGTAAACACTTGTAGGCTGCAAACCATACCATATAGGATAAGTAGATTCTATATTGCCGGGCTTCTGTTCAGTGATAGATCACAGAAGACGTCTGTGTGCCACGTTTTTTCTTACCACATATCGTCGTGTTATGTTACCTACAAAGAATCTATTTTTTCATTACAGTTCTCGGTAGTTATGTTGTAGAGCATAAAGAGCAAGAATCCGAAGGTTTTGGGTTCAATTCCTTATCAGGACTCAGTTTTTGTTTCTCGCTAGTAACAAGACGAATAATATCTGTCAGTTAACACCGGAGAGATCATCGTGTTTTGTGTGACAACCTTTTTTATTCCATAATAGATATTTCAAGACGTCTACGCCTGAGCCTCGATTTCGTACACACGCACGAGACCCAGTCTTCTTCACACGCATCCAAACATATAGAACATGGACATCGGTGTAGAGACCTGGGTCGTAATATTTGGATTAACCAATTTCAAGATCATCCCGAATACCACATAGTTATGGTATATTACCAATAAATAAAGAATATCAAATCATTTTTCTTTTCCCGATGGTTTATTGTTAATTTAACAACGACACCTTCACAGTTGCATCAAGAATTACCTTTGCGAATCTGTTACAGATAAACATATTCACTGATCCTCATCAGTAACAAAATGATAATCTCAATATGGACTGACTAACCCTACGTGTACTATAATAAGTGTAGCTTAACACTAACCTAACATACAAGTGTCTTAACGGAAGAATTAAATTTAAGAAAAATGATTAAGCTTTGGGAGAGAGTTTTTCATTGAAGATGACAAACTGAGTTCATGCAAAATTAACACACTACTTGTACCCAAAGTTTATATTATGATATGACTTTAAGGTTCTTTAAATTTGCTTTTGTCAACGTTTGTAGTATCTGTAATAATTCAATACGCTTCTAAGGATGGACAAGTTGGTTTCTGGTTGCATTAGGTCGCCACAGACACTGATTCAAAACTTCTTGGATAACATCTTTCAAGGTGTAGAGGATAACATAGTTCCGATACCTCTTCACCATGTCGTCAGTAATCGTTCCTGTCTGAAAAATAAAAGTATCTCAACTATTTTAGTTATCTGTTTAAATACATGTATCTTGAATCTGAAAACACATTAGTGGACAAATACATTTTGATAATCATAAGATTGTATCATACTTAAGTACCACAGTTTGAGATACAAAAGCAGATCATTTTTAGCTCTGTCTGCATTAGATGGAGTAAAAAGACTTCGCGTAACGACACGGTACTGCTCTTTTCTTTTCCCTGGTGCTCATATTGGAGCTCGTATTAACTTTAAAGCAGTAGATTTTTCTATTATACGTTTCAAAGATTTTTCCCCCCCTCCCCCCATTGAGATGGGGAATTCGTTAACCTCTCTACTCATTTCGCTATTGCATTAGCGTTTCATAGCATTTTTTACACGGTAAAAACCTTGAAAACTCATTCTATAATGAAAACACGCAACATACCACAAATTTTGTCAAGTATTCGCGAGATAGCTGGTCTAGGTTTGCCTCAGGAACTGATGTGGGTGTGGATGGCACTGGATACGAATTCTTTGTTAGCTGAAATTTGAGAACAAAGTTAGCAAAACAATGACATTAACTGCTTCGAATTAAATAAAAATGTCCATATTTAAAAATAAATAAATAAGTAATTAGGAAGGAAAGTAATGGAACTTGCTGAAAGCGAAATGACATTCAATTAGGAATAGAAGGTTTGACAAAACCATACCTCTAATTCTTAATTTCTCCACGAATTCGCCACGAAAAGGAATGAAACGTTCATTCGTGTTTTTGTAAGTTTTCTTATTTTTAATCACCCCCATGGTTGTTAATGGAAATATTGTTTAGCACTCTCACCTTATGACGCAATCTCATCGCTGTGTTGTTCAGGTGCTGACCGACTTTCATGAGCACACCTTTCAAAATCTTGTTCTGGGGTGTCTGTGCTGCCTCATACGAGTACGCCATGTACACTGGATTTATGAAATCTCTCATTTTGGCATAAGCGATGGTAAGGTTGTCTTTTCTTTGCTTTAAAGAGAATAATGTCAGAAGCGAATAGTTATTTTTATAGTTCAATATCCATTTAATAAGCAGAAGGCATGAAAATTTTGCGAGTTTTGATATTTGCAGATTTTGCGGAAAAAATAAAGGGCTACAAAGGCAATTACTTTTGGTTCAATTAAAAATCTCCAGAAAAGTAGACAAAGAGTAAAAGTAGGCTATATGTCATGTTTTTTCCGGGTCAGCACTCTGCATTTGAGTTTCAAGGGTAAGCCGAATCGCATTGTTTTTACCCTTTGTAACATTTACCACCTCGTCATAAACCACAAACAATACTAGGTCGTACCTTGTCTGAGGCGCAAACTTGCGTGTTGGCATCTCCAAGTCTTAGAATGGTCTCGCTTAAGTCATTGCTTGAGGCTATGAAACTGTAGACGTTAAGCATCTGTGAAAGAGAGTATTTGAGTATCGATTAACGCTTTCTTGAGTTAGGCACCAGACTACGAAATAAATTACAGCCGAATTCTCAAAAATAGCGTAACCATAATGCAAAATCAAATTCAATCATTTCACCTCTCTGGTAGCGTTAGTGCGAGAGGGCTCCAAGAAAAGTCTCATGATGGTTTCTACACTTGAATACTTTGCTGCGAAACCAGTCGAGCTCAGCATCGTTAATGTAAACATGGCAGCGAACAGGAACTTACACTGGAATACCATTTCTATAATGTCTGGATAATAAGTAGAAAAAGACAAATATGAAATAATCTGAGGAGTTCGAGCTTGTTTAAGTCTAACTATGAAATAAAGGGATACGTTGTTTATCTTATAAGAGGACGTTTTACAGGCCCCTTTTTTGAATAGGCACCTTTTGAAATCGTGACTACGGATAAAACCGCTGATCAAATCCTGAAAAGTTGTTATCCTATAATTATTTTATCTAATGAATAATGTTTCCTCGCTGTTTAATTGAGAGGACATTTTACTCGCTCTCTTTTTGATAAAAGCCCTTTTGAAACGTTTTTAACTCCACAGTGAGGTAAAGATTAAAGAGAAGGGTTCGTTCAAACTTATCCCTAAGGATCAAAATGTGTTCTATTACCCTCTTCCTTCAAGATAAATTATGTAAAACTTGGCTACAAATGATCCTGCTGTGGATCCCCGAAAATCAGCCTATGTTTTTTTCTCCTCTTCCTTTTAAATTCTTCTTCAAGGCGAATTGCGTTAAAAATTGGCTTAAGGCTTCCAATGAGTTCCATTAGGAGCTTAAACATGCATGATAAATTTGTGTACAAAAAATGTAGAAGTCTCTCTAAACTCACCTTACAGTTCTTTCTTTGTAGATGAATTTATCTGTTACGTTGAAGTCCAGTTTGTGTTGGATTCTTGAAAGTTTGTGTTTGGATCGCAACGCGCCTGCATTTATACAAATTGGGCAGGAAGCAGTTTGGTAGGTTTTGCATCATCTTTTCCATAAGGAGCCAGTGGGTGTTTTCCTTGAAGCGTCTTCCTTACTCTCTCATTACCCTTCCATTTTAGAAAATTTCAGGAGAAATTTGTCAACTCTTCCTGGAGGGGCATTCAACATTCTCGATATTGAAATCATACCAAAAAAATGAGTCGACAAGAAATTATTTCCAACTTCACGAAATGAAGCTATTCTTTGATTATGACCCACTGTAATAAAAACTAGCACTGGCCGACGCCGATTAGGGTATGTATGATGATGGTCATTGCATTCAAAGGCCTTATTTTCACTTATCCCTTTTCTGTTACCTTAAACCCTCATCTGTTTTTGAATCACACCGCTGCGAAAGGCCTTTAAACTCGAGGATTTGGGAGAATTTGAGATAATCACATGTGATAGTTCTCTTCCGCACTACTCAAAAAATTCATCTTAAACTTGGTGACCATGCATAATCGCTGATTTCCTTTTATAACAGTGAGTCCAATATTAACTTCCAAAAAAAAAATTTGGGTTTCAGTTTTCATTTGTGGGTAATTTTCCACTTATATGTTCCCTCACTGGACGACTTAAACAGACTGAAAAGGGTCACAGTAGTTTAACTAGTCATGTCGAAGACCTATCATTTGATCGTGAATTACTTGAGAAATTAGGTCGTGGAGACTTAACTCTATCACATCTGTTCAGCGCTACGCTTTCTACATATTATTGCACTGGGCGAGAGAAATCTAGAAAGGCCATAGCGGGTTATTTCAGGCAATATGATTTCCCAAAACAACGAATGCTGATTTGGAATTCTTGCTCCAATTTTTAAGTGGCAGTCATTTTTTTCTAGACTAGCACATTCATCGACAGTTGATAATATCTAATCTAAACTGGAAAAACTCGGTATCGCTTGACCTTGGAGGTAAATTGGAGAGAGAAAAGAGCGCCGATCATCCTAAAATTGTATTTTTGTATAGAATAAATGGTTTCTTCCTCTTTTACTGGGGCTATTTATTTTTAAACCAAAGGAAGTAAATTTATCGGACCTTCATTTGCGGGCTTTTCTCTTTCCATTTAACCAGGTCTGTATTGTATTGTTTCGTTATCGTATATTGCTTTGAATTTTTAATGTGTGACGCAGAGTATGATTTAGAGTCACAGCTACCATGATCTATTTATGAATAGAGTGCTCAGATATAATATTGAGCAGCTTGTTTGAAGGAGATGTATAATAATGTGTTGCGTGATTGTGGAATACTCTAGTATTGACGCAGGCAACTGAGTCAATTTCGCTTTTCAAACAGCCTTAAGCTAAGGAAATTTATGAAAGTGACGGTGTTAATGCACGGAACCCTAAGGAACAATGATAACATGTTATTCTCTTTTTCTCACCCACGCCGAAGTGTGTAAGTTAGCTCTTTCGCCCGTTCTACCTATAATATGGAAATGTTGTTGATATAGAAATATTCTAGATGAAATATTAACAAATCTACTAAAGTTTTTGTGTCATAAAACAGAAAGCTAGATCAAGGATTTAAAGTTCACTGTTCACATACTATTACAGGTGTTTAACATAATGAAAATGCTGTTCCCTAGTGAGCTTTAAGCCTTTTGACTTTGTTCAAACTTGAAAATTATTCTAATGCTGCCATTTCGTAAATTCAATTTTAATGATTGTTGTTTGTTAAACGAATGAAATATGAAAAAGTGGTTTATTCAAAGGGATGATATCTGTATTAGCAATATGAAAAAGTTGTTTTTTCACGGGGATGTTGTCTATATTAGCAATAGCAAGTCGAATTACCGTACAACGTTACTCCATATCATTTGACGTCAAGAAAAGTATATATTTGCCATCAAACGGTAGCTGCAAACCATTAATAAGGGCGAGTACTTGGCCCAACATTATTTGCGAGCAATAGTCTTTCTAAACACTAACTTCGGATCCGAATTCTAAGAGAATTACGCGCTATAATTCAATCCTATAGCAGAAGCGGTGGTAGAACTGGCTGTCGCCATTATCCTGATATTGATTTAAGTTTTAGTAATCTTTCTCTGAACCATGCACACGTTTGATACCCACAGCCAGGTCCGTCATTGATTGGCTCCCAAATTACTGTTGCCGTACGGTTTCTTTTAGGATCCAGTCACACTGAACCGGTTGGAAGCAAGCGACTGGCGCGCAACACAGTATTTTAATTGGTAAATGTTATTGTGTCTTTCGAGAGTGGTGATCTATAATAGAGATTAGTCTGATTTTGGCAACTCAGTGACTCGGAAATAAAACGTGAAGACTACAGGCTTTTCAGGATAACAAATGCTACTCGATCGTATGTTTTATTCAGTAAAGCTAAGACAAATATATATCGAGTTCCACGGGAAGGTCACACTTTTGCGTCATTCACCCTCTCACCGTTTTGATTATTTTTAGAAATTGGACAAGGGAAAACGCGACGAATCATTCTAGAAGCTGAAAAAGGATTCTTTTAAGATTTTTTATGACTCGTAAACGTCATCACCCTTTCTAGCTCTCGTCAACCAACGAATTGCCCCCTCCCGAAACTCTGTGAGAATGGATTAGTTTCTCCGTAACTTTAGGCCGTATTCTTGCGGATATAGAAATTTTAAGAAGTAAGCATACGATATTGCGCTTTAGAATTTGTGGTGAGTAGCACGACGTGAGGAACAAACAGCTTCGTAAACAAGTTGCAGAGATTTTTTTTTTACTTGAGCTGGCGGGAACCCCATTTCATAGATACACAAGTTAGAGCCCCGAACACAAAGTATTTAGTTTTTTATAGAACATGAGTCAATCTCCAGATCGAGTTGGCACTTCGTAAAATCTTTAATAATATTGTTAATTTGTCAACACTATTTCTGGTGGTTATTTGAAAATTATTTATGTATATGAAAAAATACATCCGATCATGTTATGAAACTGAAGTATGAGATCACAAGGAAGCAGAAGGAGAAACTGGAAATGTGATAATATAATAGTTTCTGAATTCTGAATTAATTATCGATGCGAAGCAAGCTGTTTTTTAATGGAAGTATTTTATTTACAGAAATAATCGTCTAGCCCGGGGTGTTCGAAGGTTTGACAATGCTATCCATTGGATTAATCGCTAAACAGGGGATAACGCAGTACGTCTTGCTCTCATTTATCCGCTCGATAGCGATTTGTCCCTTGGCGGATAGCGTTATCCGACCTTTAGACAACTGGGCCCTGATCTTTATATTTGTTTACGTAAAATACCGTTTGTTCAGAATTTTTTGATGACCCGACTTACAATCCGATCTCAGCACGTGTATGCTTTCACATAGACGGATGGACCAAAAATTCGTGATTGATGAATTTTGATCTTTTCCTCAAAGGAGCACATTCTCTTGAGTTAAACGCCCCTTCTTACTTAAAATTCGGTCACGGTCGTTGTTTATCTTCCTAAAAGGCACTTACTAATACTGGCTAGAAGCCAGTATTAAACCACAAAACGTATCCTATCAATTCATCACTTTAGGAGAAATACATCACCAGAAATAGTTGTGTTTAATCATAAAAAGTGACTTTGAGAGAACTCGATAAAAACCTCGAACCGTTTCGGTATACCGCCTGTCTTCGCGCTTCGGAGGACCTAATTACTTCTTCCGCACTTTCAAGGATGATCACATAAAGCGTTACTACCTATAAATCAGTAATCTCAAAAACACAAAATGATACTAACGCAGAGGGAAGCTCTGCGGCCTCGTTTGAATTTTAAAACAAGCGTCGCAGTTAGCGTCAGTTCTCAAAAGATGTTTATCAAAATATGTAATGTTTGATCTCATAACATTGATCAAAACTCACAAGAAGAGCGTTACACTATCCCATGTCTTTGAGTGTCTGTCACAGTGTTATGCACCATCGGTCACAAACGCTAAACCATTATCTAAATTTGGTCTACCGTTTTATACATGAGCCTCTGGCTCGGGCAATTGGGCAACCATGCCTCACGTTAGACAATAAACTTTGATTGATTGATTGATTGATTAAATGGGCGAAAGCATCTTTTTGTCAAGCTTGCATCATGTTCAAAGATACTAGGCCACTGAACGATAGCTCCTCGTCTCATTTTAAATTAATTAAAACTTTAAGTATCACTTACACGGAATTTTGTACAAATCATGTGTAGCATGCATTTCAAGCAATTATTTTTCAGCTCATAATCCTTAATGTATTTTCCCACAAACTTGATTAACTTTGCTACCTTACATCTCAAGGGGTGAACTAACCGCGGTAAGCTGTGAGGTCTGATATACCTAGCACATTCAGCATACTATATTCAGATAGAAATTAAAGCGTCTATATTAATTTTAGGAAGTTTTCTTGACTTTACTTTTTCTTTGAAGTCATGCAGTAAGTACAGGGCGAAACCTGTTTCGAGACGTCGTGGAGCGTGTATAAGATTATGAAGTTCCGCAACCTTTTCACGACATCATCTGTTACCGTCAATGTCTGAAAAAAAAAGCGAAACAAAAAATGTGAGTTTAACACTTTCAATTCTAAGGGCTTAAATTCTCTGCCCCGTCAGCCTTCATTTGGTGAAATTTTTTAGCTCTGAGAGCTTGCGGCTGAAGAAAATTATATTCCCTATTAGCTACAGTTCTTCTTTACCATCACGTATCTACGTACCGAAGATGTATCGATTTTGTGATGGCTTCTAAGATCTTAAGATGGCTTCTAAGCAATCAATTATAAAGGTTTGATCAATTTCATCGGAGCAAAAAGTAATGGGCAACCGTACTGGAGAGGTTTTTTACTTATAGTGTCAATTTAGCCCTTTGACAGAACTTATGAATAAATGGAATTGGGGATAGATTCAACAGTCATGCCTCACTTACCACGAGATTCCTTTGAATTAAGTTTTTCAGGTAAGAATCTGTCATGTTATTGACTTCAGCTTCAGATATTACAGGGTATTCTGGGGGCAAGATTCCCTTTTGTCTCATCTACAGAAAACGCAGAGAATAGAGCAATTTTTATTAAAGCGAATGAGTGAATGAAAAGTCAATTAACATAAAAACAAGTTGATCATGATTTTTTGTTATAAATGAAACAAGATAAAAAAAACGCACGACATGACATGTGAAAATTATCTGAGGTATTCTTTCTATCACAAGTATTAATCTTTGGTTTTACTTCTCTAACGAGCCACCAAAATGAAACGCTTATTATTTGTACTAGCAATGTACTGCACTAAACAGTTGAAATTGATATCGAGGATAGCACACTGTTTGCTGTTTGCAATTTCATGTAAAAAGTAAATGTAGGATAATTAGTTGTTGTAGATAAGACATTTGTTTTAATTTGCTGGTATGAGAAGAAGAGATTTAAGTAGTTTTTCCTCTCTTTCAAGGTGAATCTAACATTTCAGTGATAGGTATACATTGGGTACAACTTTTAGAATCCTAGCTCATAATGATTCCTCGACCTTTTAATTTGCGACTGAATGGACCCAGTCTAATAATTTTTAGTGCACATTTGGTCAAACTTGTGACAAAAACTAAAAAAATATTTTACTATCATAGTTAATCTAACCTGACGTCTGATAAAAGATACTGTGGCATTCACCATCAAACTCGTCGTCCTCAGAACTGATGCCAAGCTAGTGTGATTACGTCCTTGAGAACTTTCGTACATTACGACGAAGTTCAAAGGGCGCTGGAAAACAGCTACCTGTGAGTGCAGCGCGCTCAGCTTCTTTCCCACTTCCTGTCAAACATAATAAATACAACACTATCGTTCGCCCCTCAAACTAGTCTCATAACTGCGTTCTTAAAGAAAGCCTCTTTTTTGCCATTCAATATAAGAAGTAAAAATTGTAAGATCCTAAACCAACGTATTTCTTAATTTTTTTTTCTAATCTTATACTTTGTTTTAGATACTGATGTATTTCGTAATTGTAACTGGAAACATACCCTCGAATTATCTCGTTTTCCGAAGATTTAAAAAGGCAATTTTTCCCTGCGTTGGTTACAGTACGGAATGAACGCGACGAAAACAACAGCATTTGATGAGATCATTATTTTGATACTTGAGAATAAATTATGGAATGATGTCCATGTTTTGATATAGCAGGATTATCAATGCTCATCAAAGCGCCAGCATAATGTTGTGGTTCCAGCCGACGATATTAGAATATCATCATCAAATGATTATAAATTAGTTTTTGTATTAACTTTGCACATCTCAATCAAACTTCATAAACTAGCAATTTTTTCTGTCTATCTTTCTAGTATAATACATACTTAAGCCTGACTTCTTTGAGTCTGATTGGCATCTTAAAAATGGGTGAAATTATTATACCCCGTTTTTTCGTTTTTGATAAGCTGGAGAATTTTTGGGTTTTAAAAAATCTCTATTGACGAAATCCCTTATCGCGAGTTTATTCAACATATTTCCCTTTTTCCGCGGAGGTAAAATTCAAAGGGGAAACTTATCACTGTGTTTCCTGATGCTGTTTATTTGAAAAATATTGCCTCTTGCCACAAATAACACAACACTTCTACCAGTAGTATTTAAAACTTTAGAAATCATTTTGACATGATCTTTCATGTGGCCTAGTGCAACTTTGTACCTTCTCTTTGGTGCAGTCTTTCCCAAGATCGAGACCAAAAGTAATGAGCGGCTCGTAAAAATAGTCCGACGAAGTAAGGAAAGGGTATAGCAACTTCATCTGTAACATAAAACACATGAAGATTCTCAGTTAGCAAATTGGCCAGTGTAGTTTATTGCGAATGCTCGTCGATGAAACTTTATCGTAACCATAATTAAGAATGTTTTATGACTCGTAAAGCCTTCGGATTGCTAGCAAAAGAAATAACTGATGTGAAAAACTGATTTGAAAACAAACTTAGCACAGACCTTAAATGTATGAAGCTTTAGCCAACCCAAATTTAAGCCAGAATCGTTTCATAAGGCTAAATTAGAGACAGCTCCCTCACATATCAATCGAGTCCAGCACGTTTAGCAACAAGCAAAGTAATCATTAATTTTAAAGCTGATCATACTGCAACCTGAATAGTGGCGTTGTGTATCGCAGGAATAATGATAAGCTTGATCAAGAATGTCGCATGGCTTATCCTAAACCTTGGTGTAGATGAATTTGTTGCAGAGGCAGCTGTAGGCATTTTCAGCGTAATAAATACCAGGGCAAGGAAAACGATCTTCGTCGACTCCATTTCTAAAACAGAGGGAAAAAGCAAAGGACACTTTTCTGCTCAGAATAATAGAATGGTGGACATCTTGCATTACAAGCTAATATCGTATTTATCCGTTACATCGTTGCGGAATTGCAATGTTTCTAATTGTGAACCAATTTTTTTTCATCCCTGTCGTTTTCTCTGTAATGATGTTATGTTACTCCCATCCAATCCCTTTGTGCCTTGAGGTACGCCTACGGCGGGCCAAATTTCCAACGAGCATATGCCAATCTGAACTATGATAGAATAATTTCGCTAGAATGTGACAGGTTTTAAGGTGGTTGTTCATTTAGAACGTAAGGGAAATTGTTATGCCTATTGCAAAATTACCTATAAAATAACAACGGTACCGCCATCACCGTGACACTGCAAGGCGTTTGAATGAAATTCGCGTTATTATAAATAGGCGCAAAACAAGCACAATCACTTCCTGTTATGTATTACTAAATCTTCAAAGCAACGTTTATTACCTCCTTAGAACTTATGAGCTTCATATTTTTGCTCCCATGCCATCTCCACTTGCATCACACATCAGGACTTTAGGAGTTTGTTTACTTCATGAGTCGATACTCATATTATATTTTTCGAGAATTGGTTTCCGTACATTTTTCAGATTATTGTTGACCTAGGATTAGTTACGCTGAAGGGAATTTCTACTGCTCGGTATGCACTTCTTACTTACCTTGGACTATGTCGTGGTCAAAGTCAACTTTTACAGTTTCATTCCTTGCGTGAGGCTGTGATCTGGGGAAGATCTCAGTTCTGAGAATGCGCGGTAAATGTTCATCTCCGGATTCTCGTGTTGCTTTGTTTATTTGGAAAGTTTGAAAGGCCATCCTTGAGATCAGCCGTTAAGTATGGCCTTGAATAAGTGGGAACGTTTGACAACATTTGGAAAAATAAACCTCGCTTCCTTTTATGATTACAACAAGCTGTAGAAATAAACGAAGTTGAATTTCATTTAAATCAAAATGCATTTGAGGACAACACTTTTGGTCTGAGGGGCCTAAAAACTCTTAGGGGAAGGACGGGAGACGGATTTTTAAGAGCTAGAGATAAAGTTGAAAAAGAAAATAGTGAAAAAAATTATCAGAAAGAGGGTTACGGAATAAAAACAGTTCGATCATGTTATCGTTGTTAGTGTTGTTACAAAGTCCAGTAGACTTTGAGATCCTTCTTTTAATTAACAACTCAACAGCAATGAAATAGTTATTGATAAGTTAACTATACATCATCGACTTTTTGTCTAAAATAATGGAAATAATGAGATATATTTTACATTTCTTCGTACAGACGATGCTGCTTTCCCCTTTTAACTTTTAACATCATAACTCAATCTCTCCTCTGAAATCAAGTCCTCCTTGCTGTGTTTGCATTGTTTTGAATGTTTTCTGCAAACCTTTTCCTTATCAGAAATGTTATAATTCTAAGTACTCTGGAAGTCTGACCATGAGGTAAGACTGGAGTAAATTAAAATCTAAAGAGTTGTCGTATGTTTGTGAAGAATATCAACATGACCTTTAAAATCAGAGCCAAGCTATGTTCATACCCACATGAATAAATGTTTGGAACTTGATTGCCAATTATTGACAAAGTCTGCACCTCGATAACATGGATAATGGGTTTTTGTTCCTTCTGTCTAGATTAAAGTAATTTACGACTGTGTACAATAAGTTAGCTGCACTTTAATTGCTTTTGCCAGTGATAGATAACTTATTAATGTTAAATTTGTCAGCTTAGTGATGGTCTGGTCAAATACCCTTTAGTTTCCGAGTATCTGTCGGTTGAATCAAAGAAGTTCCTTTAGGTAAGTTCATGTTTTTTATTATGGAAACAACAATATGGATAGAAATTTCATTTGGCTTGCAGGCCTTTGTAGTAATTTTGCTTGTTGCTTCTGTCGTTTCTACACGAAGTGTACCCAGACATGTTTTAGGGGAGCTATTTTCTTTAAACTGTCTGTGGCACATAAATAAAAGTTTCTCTCCATCCACACATCACAGTTACACAAAAATTGATGCTGTTACAGATTCTTAACACCATTCAGTAACCTGTCAACAAGTAGAGATATCTCGGACCACAGATTTCAGTCTTAATTGAGTCCCATCTACTATTCCACAGTCGTAACTAAACCAAATTACACTTCTTTTTCTTTCAATTTCGCTATAAGCAATGAATTATATCAAGAATTATTTATCACCTTTTCATTTCTTTTTTCATCTTTTGAAGACAGTAGCTTTTCACTTGATGTGTGATAAGACTAAAAATGCAGCAGCCTTTGTTTAGGTAAGTTTCGGATTAAAACCACTTACTATACATCTTTATTTCATTGGGTCACTGACAGCTGAAGTTCTTGGGTAGTGGTTTGACAAGCAAATGAAATATATCCTGGTTTATGACATAAATGCACTAAACTACCCACTTAAAACTGATTTGATCTCAAATTTTCTGACCTGCACTAAATTTAATGTATGTTATTGAGTATCTTGTCTAGTTAGTCATTGCGGGCAATTTGTCATTGGAGTTCCAAATGAATTTTTAGGAACAGTTCATCAATCTTAAGATATCTTCTCCCTTATAATTATTTTCTTCAAGCATCATTCCTAAGAAACGTGAAAATTGACATATGTGCAGTATTCGTAATGCCAGGCTAGCATTCTTTGAATCCAAGAAGTAAGTGATCCCCTTCCCTCGCCAGACTTATATGTAAGAGTCAAGAAAATTCCACGTACCACAAAATGATATTTAGCTAAGTGATCGATCATTCGTAAATGTACAACATTAACATCAACGATAATCGTAACTGTATCATGGGCAAAACTATTGCCTTTATAGTTTTCTACATAGATAATCCCTTTCTCTATTATATAGAATGTCTACCAATTGGTTTCATTCCAATTTCTACCAACTCAGTAAGGTTCAACTGTATAAAAACACATTAAGCACCAGTGGAATTGTCTTATTTTTCTCAATGATTTTTTCCTACTGTTTTATAAAGTGCTATTCAAGGGGCTAATTAGTGAGAAATACACAACGTAAGATTCGTATGAGTCGGCATGTGTGTGACGGATGTATCGCCATTTACACAAAATTTCCATGCTCAGATCTACTGAATTCCGATCTATTGAATTTTTATATTTTTGATGTTCTTGAGAAGAAATATTTTTATGTAATCATCTAATGTAAAAAAAAGAATTCGAAAAAAAAATATATATATGGCTTATTGAACTTTTTGTAGTAGCTGCTATCGTTTGCGGCGGATAGTATTTCAATCAGGTCCAAGATAAATCAAATAAACGTACCATCCCGAATATTATGCACCTACGTAAAACTTCTCAATTTCGTTTTTAATACCGACAAATACAGTACTATTTAACATATAATCATGCAAAATGCTATTTTAAGCGCTTGTTACTTTTGATTCATACGAGAAGCACAAATGATACTAGGAGTAGGACTTCTCGATGTGGAGTATTTTAAGTTTAGTACAGAAACGTGGTCACACAACAAAATATGCTCGCTCTAGATATTAAACAACGGGGGAAGTAGCTCTTTCTACATGCTCATACTCACAGAATTCTACAATTACTAAAACACAGAGTTACCGCTCACCTTTTAAAGACGGGAGACATTTAGCCCTCTCCTACTAACACAACCGTTAGCTCTGTATGTCACGTTCTGGCTTCTTTCGGTCGGTATGCTGCAGTCGCTTAGTCATATTGTAGATCAAGGTTTACAATACTGTAGTATTTGGTCCTTTGAATCGACTTTGCTGCGCCTCGAAGTAGAAATCCTCCATTATTTTCAGGCTTCTACGTTCAGCTACACGAAGTGAGACCAGGAATTCCCTATGTAGCTATTTCACACATTTTCTTCGAAAGATGGGAAGTTTATCTTTGAAAACAATTGGGCCTATTTAATGAGACTGTTTTTAAAGCGAATCATCGGAAATATAGGAAGCACTGAAGTATTCAATTTAAGATAATTGGTTTCCATGTGAAATCGAGCCTGGTTTAAGTTTGTGATTTGACAGATGTATTTTCATTTGGTTCAAGAACTCTTGCATAATAATACATTTTTTGCGGTAATTATCCCAAACCGAACATTTTCTTTTACAGAACACATCCGGGCACATAATCAACACACTTAAGGATTAAAAGCATCCCTGAGGTCTTTTCTGTATAAGGTTTTAGCTAAGGAATTTTTGGTGAGTACAGCCGCTTATTTTGACTATTCAATTTATCGATGGAGCTCTACCTTCATGCAGTAATTAATGCATGGTAATGCACAGTTATTTATAATTTTAATAGCATAACAACAAAAAACATCTCTTTGATCCCAGTGACGAGGTGCCTTTGTTTATTCTTGTTTGGGGCTCCTACAAGGGAATTATTATTCATTATAGCCGCGGCAAATACAAGAAATCATAAGTGATGACATACATCTGATTGAAGTTTTCATATCTGACTTGTTTTTTTACCACCCTCCTGATGTCAAGTTATTTCATGAAGTTTCCTCAAGAGCTGATATAAATTTGTGCGATAAAAACTTCTTTGATGTACTTCTGTACTTCCTTTCTTATTTGTAATTTTTTTTTCTAAGAAATTATTATCATTTTCCCCCCGCTTCTGTATTTGTGTTCATGTTAGGACTGTAGGATTGAAAGGAACATTTTCTGCAAGGATTTTATATTTTGGCGCCCTGAATAACTCCATTTCGAGAAGGTCAAACCTAAAGTCATTGATTGCAATAACTGAGTAATTGTTTTCAGCCATTCATTTCTAGGAAGACTTAACAAGCTTTCTCGGAAATCATTTTATCAATTAAGATATTTATCTGATATTATACGTCATAAAGACGTTTTTGGCACATGGTTGTTTTACCCCCACATGAAAACAAACCAGCAGATGCAAACTCTTCACTTGCATAATGAATAGACGATTCTTCAATTTTGTAAAAAACTTTGATTTTACTAAGTGAAAAGCAATCAAGGTGTGGAGCATATGTACCAGGACACTTTTAAACATTGGGTGGAGTAAAATTTAATCAATTTATGATTTGATTGTTTTCGGTTAACTTGCTGCATATTTTTTAAACTGAGACAAAGTCATTGTATATTTAAACAGTTTAGTTCAAGGTTTTCATGATGGTGTTTGGTTCAGGCGTGTCGGTGTAACTTAGCGCAAGTAACAATCATTGTTTCGCCAAAAATCAATTCCCGGTATTTTCAAATGAAATGAAATGCACCTCCCTGACAATAGGCGTAGCACGATGCTACATCTATCGCTTATGGTCTTCTTATATATTATCTTATGTATTTATATATTCCTACAATAAGAAAAAAGATTTGTAGGAATAAATACTTACCTGACTTATTCCATTGTTACACGCCTGATTATGGCATTTAAGATTTTTGCACGAAATTGGCTTGGAATTTCAAAGTTGTTAAGAAACAAAAACACGTTAGCTCCTTGTATAACACCATGTCGTTAGGAAGATAATAAAGTTGACTCATCCTTCCCTGTTAAATTCACCACTATAAAACAGAACTATCAAGTGAGAACTCTTACTCGACGTAAGGTGATAACATCTCATTTCCACGAATTTCGTCCTCTAGATTTGACCTTCCTTTTTCTACGAAATTCATCAATATCACATCATCCGAGTTGAGTGATAGAGGGATAAAAATGTTTGGTATTTCGCTAAAACTCAATTCCCGGTATTTTCAAATGAAACGAAATGCACTTCCTTGATAATAGGCGTAGCACGA